CCAGACAATCTCAAGGGTCAATCTAATTCCAAAATTCTACATCTAAGTCAACTCATGTCCACTGAACCAGGTAATTTTAATGGTAATGAAGGCTAGTAATGTAATTAAATTGTCTGCTAAAGACATAAAAGATTATTGAAAGGATATATACTAATATGAAAGTGTGAACAATCGAAGTGAATGGCATATAGCAAGCATTCAAATATTCACTGACCAGCTAGACATAAGATAGCAAAACCTAAAACTAGAAAGCTAAAAAAAAATAGACAATTTGAGCAAAGAACACATTTAAGATATATAACACATAAAAATAATTATAAATATATGAGTCTACATGGTGATTTCTGAGTTTCCTTTTTTCTTATCAATTAATACTCTCATAAGACTACTATCTTAAAATCACATGCCAAAGAATCTTCATCTAAATAATCTCTCCTACCAGAGTTGATGTTAAAAATAAAGGGTGTCAAGATGAAATTCTCTACCTTTCTACAAATATGAAAGCTATACAAGAACACCCTAGTTTTGGACTTGACTTTTCTCATCTTCTTTATGGGCTTTCATTGTAAATTCATGCTACTCTGTAGTTTGCCTGCTACACTTGCACAAAAAAAATAATAAAAACAGCAACAAAAAAATTAAAACCATGATGTGTGGTTTATATGTCTTATTCTGGCTGATTTTATCTTGAACACCAGGTCAGAAAAAATATAAAATGTATTTTATAGTAATCATAAGCATTAATACTTTTTTTGCAAAATGAGACACATTACATTCAGTAAGTAAATTATCTAAAAATGGCAATGCACATAAACTTTCAGCCAGCAGGCACCTGAAAAACAATTTCTTCCCAACTAGTGGCTCTCAGAAAATAAAAATGTATTTTAATATTAAGTAACTACAAAATTAGTAAGATAAACATACTGCAAAATGTATATACATGGACAGTGTTTACGCACAGTAAGCACATACACATTTTGCATAGCACGATGTGAACCCTAGATCACTCAATAAACACAAATGATACATTAACTCACCTTAAGATTATCTGGGCCCATCACTTCACTCCATTCCATGGATAACTGAAGTTGGATAGGCCAATATGATTCCAAATTCCCCAAGAAAAACAAAATGCTTTTAAACTCTGCTTCCTAACCTGATTCTTTACAATATTCTGACAAATCTTCAGGAGTCTATGTAAGATTTTGTAGCACAGTGCCTAGCCCATATCAAATAGTCCCTAAAAAGTTGTTCAATAAAATGTCAAACTTTTAGTTTGACAATAAATGAGAAAGGGGTTATCAGGTTCAAATCAAATGTTCAGTGAAATTTAAACAAAATCAGGTGACTGCACCGTAACAGTATGGAAAAAAATAACTGGAATAACAGATAGGATATGTGGATTGTGGTCCCAATTCTACTGTTAACTGTTAGGGGAAATAGGGACAACAGATTTAATATAATATATAATTGAGCTAAGTTTTCTTACCTGAAAAATGAAAGGAGATAGAATAATATAGCTTCTTAGTTCCTTTTTAATGCAGAAAATTTAAGCAATTTATACATTATGTTAGAAAGTCTAACCGGTTTTACTTAAATGGTCACCATGAGGAAGAAAAGCTAAAGGGAGGCAACATAAAGTAAATTAGCACCTAAACTGTTCTAACTCTTCCACTGCATTCTGCCTTTACTACTGCATATCACAACTCTGAAAATATTTCTATTAGATCTACGGGTACCAGGAATGGTGCTTTACTGCTTGGGTTTATGATCAATTGGTAATTAAGACCAGAAACAGAAAGACAGCAATAATCTTGGGATTATTTCCCTATGTAAAAACATCATATAAATAATGTTACTTACACTAATAGTAATTTTATTTAAAAGGGGAAAAAAAAACCCTACCAAGTACTTTACAGCAGTTTACACCAAACTTGCTTGTGGTTTCCCCTCAATTGTCACAAGGTGATAAAAGTAATTCTAATAACACAATAAATAACTTTTAAAACTAGTTTTTTGAAAGTTTATATCAAATACTACCACATTGTTAGGAAACTGCCTTACTCTAGAAATTAAAATTCTCTATTCTTACTTAGAAAAACATTACAGGATATCTTACTGATTAACTGTTCTGTTTAAATATCTAATCATCTGAAAAATCATCAATATTGTGAGTGCAAAGGCCAATGTGGAAATCCACACATGTGAATCCTCTTTTCATAATAAACTAAAGATCAAGAGAAAATTACCTGAGCTTGTTAACTTATCAAACCCAAAAATGACAGATATTCAAACACCTCTTCATCTAAGACAGACATAACTCTTCTTTTCAGGCAACAAAAAAGGTAGGCCCAAATTTTCATGTCAAAAGAGTTAACAGTAATAAAAATATAATACTTTACAACTAAAAAAGAAAAGGAAGACTTTGGAAGAGATAATTGCTTAACAGTATTGTCTAATCTACTTACAAGATTTATACACTCATACCTGTGCCTAAAGATATGACAATTTGCCTCAGGAGTTTAATTTTAATATCAAAATTTTAAGCTTCACATATAAGAACATATAAATCCCTTGATATAAGCAAAATTATTCCTATGTGAATCAGTACATTTATACTTCTATCCTAGCTCTGTCCAGTAAGCGGGCCTAAAAGGGTAATTTCCCAGTAGCAACAAGCACATTCCGCACCCAAACCTTGGTTTCTAATACCATTTTCCAAGAAAAGAAACTAAGAGTCCTCAGAGAAATGACTGATTCTAGGACTAGGGTGGGAAAAACACAAGATGAACCTGGAGCATTTAGCAGTCCAGAAAGTAAAAAAATGCTCAAGAAAAAACAAAAAGGATGGGAGCAAGTCAAATGGACACAGGAACAAACTTGAAAGCGCTCCAAGGCCAAAAGATGGAAAAAATCTGAGCAATAAAATAATGTATTACTAAATTATAAGCCAAAGTATAAAATAAATATACTGGAGTCCATACTGGTATAATTAATTGAATAAATAAATGAGGGGGAAGAGTAATCTTCCTTACAGAAGAATTCCAAATAATTTATATAGATGTTCCTCCCTCCAACCAACAAGTGGCGCTTAGATCCTCCCCATCCCACCCCTTGTAGGTGGGTTGAATTTAATGACTTACTTCCAAAGAATAGAACAGTGGGGAAAGTAACTTTACAGTACAGAAACCTGACAAATACTACCTCAGCCAGGTGATCAAGGTCAACATCAAGTGTGATTAAGTCATGTTGACTGTATGCACCCTTGATATTATGTGATGAAATAGCACTTTACCTCCATGGTCGTCCTCCCAAAAAACCATATCCACAGTCTAATCATGAGAAAAACATCAGACTAAACCCCAATTGAGGCACATTCTACAAATACCTGACCAGTAGTCCTCAAAACTTTCAAAGTCATGGAAAACAAGGAAAGACTGAGAAACGTAGGTCAGAAGAGACTGAGGAGATATGATGACTGGATGCAATGTGGTATCCTGGATGGGATCCTGGAAGAGTAAGACACATTCATGGAAAAACTAGTAGGATATGAATGAGTCAAGAGTTTAATGTACCAATGTTGATTTCTCAGTGTTTACAAATGAATCATGGTAATGTAAGATGTTTAACAACAGGAGAAACCCAGAGAGGGACAGACAAGGGCTCTCTATACTATCTTTGCAACTTTTCTGTAATCTAAAATTAATTCAGAATAAGAAATTTATTTTTGAAAAAATTATATACATGTGGAGAGATGAATCTAAAAAAATTTGTGTCACAGCTAAAAAATATAACACAAAATAAGTTCATAGGCTCAGGCCATGCGCATTCTGCCACTGATTCTTTAATTTTGGATTCAAGTTTGGGAATGATTTACAGACTAGAGAGAAGAAACAGTCATCATTTCAAAGGCTTAAAAGCTTAAACCACTTACTTTCTCCTTTCTTCTTAATCACATCCAGTGATCAAGACCTACTGATTCTCACTCCTCAACATCTCCTCTCCACTGCCACTGTCAAGCATCTACTTTAAGGCTTTCATCTCTTTAGAGGCAGTAATTTGTCTCCCTGCTATATCAGTCTTTTCCCATCCTGTCAATTCCACACAACTGTTACATTTCTGAAATGCAAAGCTTAAAAACCTTTCATGACACCATACTTTAAACAGACACTTCAGACACACACACACAAAATTATGTATTAAAAGCCACAAAGTAATAACTGATATTGGCCTTTCCCTACCTCTTACTACATCTTCTTCAAGCATCCTATTCTCTACCAAAATAATTTGCTTCCAAAAGCCCACAGTACTTTTGCTTTTTGTTTCCTTGTTTTTAGTATTTTTCATCCTCTATCAGATTGTGAGCTCCTAAAGACAGGGAACAACAGGCCTTATTTACTCAGATTCATTCTCCACAGTCTAGCATAGGAGTTTATACAGAAAAGGTGCTTAATATATGTTTTTTAATCCTCTTAAAAACTAATAGAATTAAAGTTTCACATAAAATCAATTTAAAAATCTCAAAAAAAAAAAAAAACCCTCAATAATCAGTTAACAAGCTTTGCTCAAAATTGGTCATTTGACTGCATTGAAATCTTTTCAATTTCATACCAAGTCAGATGACCAGCACCAAACTGAACTAGACTCCTTAGATAAGCCATTATCTTTGACTGCAGCTGTGAACGACAGTAAGCCCACATGGGAAAAAAAAGAAGCCAAACAACTGGATGGTAGAACTAAAAGTACTTTAAAGAAGTACAATCTGTATGTTATAGACGTGTTGCTATGCTATGGTCTACCTTTGAAAGCAGTATTTATGATCTCCCCCATAAAGTACACTAACACCCAAAGTACAGGGACTTGGGAAGCACAATATAGATCTCTGATTTATCGAACAATTTGGGGCAAAATCAGAAGCAAAACTTCTATAGCCAAGCCCTAGTTCTATTTACTACTCAGATTTCATTACTTGATCACATCCTATTTTTCTTGCTTACTAGATTGGCAGCCAGCTACACACCCCTCACACTGAAGCTACAAAGGAGAACAACAGTACAAAGGAGAAAAGGCAGTCAGTCAACTAAACAAGAGCCTGAGTTACCTGAAACCTGATCTTCTGGGTCGACACCTGATTCCAAAACAATCTATAAACAGTTGGTCGACATTATTTGTGGAACCCACATTCGTGAATTTGCTAACTTGCTAAAATTTTTTTGTAACCCAAAAATTCATTACTTGAGGCACTTTCACGGCCATTCAGGGACACGCACAGAGGGATGAAGATTCTGAGTCATCCCACATGCATGGTCCTAGACAAGGGGGAACAAGGGAATGCCCTGCCTTCTAGATTCAGCTCTCGTACTGTAAACAACGGTCCTTTTCACAGTGTATTTTGTGTCACGTTTTTTGAATTTTTGTACTTTCTGCTGGTGATTTCACCTGTTTACGAGGGCCCCCAAGCACAATGCTGAAGTACCATCTAGTGTTTCTAAGCATAAGAAAGCTGTGATGTGGCTTAGGGAGAAAATACACGCATTAGACAAGTTTCGTTCAGGTATTACCAATACACATAGAAATGATCTATTTAGGGAAATAAACATTCAGAATAATTCTCTAGTTCTTTTTCATCATTTACATAAAATAGTCTCTTATTTGGGGGAAAGAAAAGGAGGAGGGGGCAGGAGAAGGAAGAAGAAAAAGGAAAACTAAAACCGAAATTTTATTTTTGAAATTTAAATTTGCTATTTTTTAAAGTGTCCACAATACAGTTTTAAGAACCAATTTTACTTCTTATTCAATAAGCAGACATTTCAGTTCTTTTTTTCTTATTCTGTTCTCTATATTGTTATTTAAAACAGTATTATGAGTGTGTTTCATGATGCTTTTGCAAAAGGGGTGCCTGGTCAAATAAGTTTGGGAACACACACTCTACTCTCTCCCGAATTAGAGAGGCACGATGCAGATTTCAAAATCAAGGGCTCCAAAATATGCTACAGTAAATAAATTTGCTTAATCCAAGTTTAATTTGGATCCAAAAGATAATTTAACCACAGCACCCTCTTTTCAAGAAACACAGTAACAAACATTTATAAAATGTCAACATTTGACAAAATAGATGAGAGAGAGAGAAACTGCATAAAATAGAAACAACGTGTTCACAAGAATTAGGTTTACTTTCGGTTCTTCTGGACTTGTTCTTTACAGTCCCACCAGAATACAACCAAAAGAGAAAAACATACATTCTACTGTGGGGAGAAGGTAACATGAAATCCAGATTCACTCCTGTCTCCAGTGCCTAAGTACGATCAAACTTGAGAGTGGTTTACAAGAAAATAGAAAAAATCAAAAATCCAAGCAGGGAAATTCCATTTTAAATGGAAGACTAGGCATTCAATAGGTAGTTATTAAACGTGGACCACCATATGTGATATAGATGCTTCAAAGTATTTAGGGGCAAAATGGAAATAAAATCAGGAAAAATAACTGGAAACAGCATTATATGCAACCTCAAATATTAGTAAATCATCTGACAGTTCGACTTTCTCTTTATTAAGAATCACAACACTTCCCAATTCAAGATATAAAAAAGGATTAAAAAAATAAAAACTTTGCTGAAAATATAAGGAACTAGCATTTACAATTTCCTTTTTTTTAAAAAAGATTTTATTTTTCCTTTTTCTCCCCAAAGCCCCCCGGTACACAGTTGTATATTTTTAGTTGTGGGTCCTTCTAGTTGTGGTATGTGGGATGCCACCTCAGCATGGCTTGATGAGCAGTGCCATGTCGGTGCCCAGGATCCAAACTGGCAAAACCCTGGGCTGCTACAGCGGAGCATGCAAACTCAACCACTCAGCCATGGTATTTTGAGATCTATTCTTTATTGAATCTCACCAAAACACCTACTTTAAAGAATAAGCTCTAAGAGTCAATAAACTCTACTATCTTTATAAATACTATTAAATGGAAATGTGGTTGAAGGGCTGGTTTTACAACATCAAATAAGTGATTGTCTAACTTTTCCAATTCAGTAAGCAATATAACAATTTCTGATATACATCTCATTTAACATCTAATCTAGCTTTCTCTATTTAACCTAAAAGCAAATTAAGGTTTTTCTAACCTTTTTTGAAATTCACAAACCATGTCTATTGGAGAAAAATGTAAATAAAGATAGAAAATAAGAAATTTTAAATTATCTGCAATCCCTTCACCCAGAAACAAGATTTTTTTTTTTTAACTTTTGAGGGCCATTTATTAGACACTATGCCAGGCACTGCAGAGAACTCTTTTTGCTTTTTATTTAGTTTAATCATTCCAACTACCTGTAAATTGGTAACAACATCTACAAAGAAAACTAAGGCAAACTCAATAGCAAAAAACACAAATAACCCAATTAAAAAATGGGCAAAGGACCTGAATCGACATTTTTCCAAAGAGTATATATGAAAGGCCAACAGGTACATGAAAAGATGCTCAACATCACTAATCCCCAGGAAAATGCAAATTAAAACCACAATGACATATCACCTCACACCTGTTAGAATGGCCATCACAAAAAAGGCAAGAGATAACAAATGCTGGTATCAATGTGGAGAAAAGGGAACCCTTGCGCACTGCTGGTGGGACTGTAAATTGTTATAGCCACTACTGAAAATATTATGGAGGGACTGGCCCAGTGGCATAGCGGTTAAGTTTGCATGCTCCACTTCGGTGGCCCAGGGTTCATCAGTTCAGATCCCAGGCATGGACCTACCTACCACTTATCAAGCCATGCTGTAGCAGGCATCCCACATATAAAATAGAGGAAGATGGACACAGGTGTTAGCTCAGGGCCAATCTTCCTGAAAAAAAGAAAGAAAGAAAGAAAGAAAATAGCATGAGAGATCCTCAAAAACTTAAAAATAGAACTACCATAAGATCCAGCAATTCCACTTCTGGGAATACAGCCAAAGGAAACATGAGCCGGCCCCGTGGCCAAGTGGTTAAGTTTGTGCACTATGCTTTGGCGGCCCAAGGTTTTGCTTGTTCAAATCCTGGGCATGGACATGGCACCACTCATCAAGCCATGCTGAGGCGGCATCCCACATGCCACAACTAGAAGGACCCACAAGTAAAAATACACAACTTTGTACTGGGGGTCTTTGGGGAGAAAAAAGGAAAAATAAAATCTTTAAAAAAAAAAGGAAACAAAAATACTAACTTGAAAAGATATCTGCACTCTCATGTTCACAGCAGCATTATTTACAATAGCCAAGACATGGAAACAATCTAAGCGTCCATCAATGGATTAGGAAGTTGTGGTATATATATATATACAATGGAATATGATTCTGCCATAAAAAAATGAGGAAATCCTACCATTTTCAATGACTTTGTACTTTGTACAATGATGTACTTTGAACACATTACGCTAAGTGAAATAAGTCAGAAAGAGAAAGGCAGATAACTGTATGATCTCACTTATCTGTGGAATCTAAAAGAAAAAACAACCCAAACTCATAGAAGAGATCAGACATGTGGTTACCAGAGATGGAGGGTGGGGGAAGGGGAAATTGTAGGAAAGTGGTCAAAAGTACAAATTTCCAGTTACAGTTATAAGGTAAATAAGTACTAGCGATGTAATGTACAACACGATGACTACAGTTAACACTGCTATACGATACATAGGAAAGTTGTTAAGAGAGTAAATTTTAAAAGTTCTCATCACAAAGAGAAATTTTTTTCTTCTCTCTTTTCTTTATATTGTATCAATATGAGATGATGAACATCGGCTGAACCTATTCAATGATCATTTCACAATATACGTATATGAAACCATCATGCTGTATGCCTTAAACCTATACAGTGATACATGTCAATTATTTCTTAATAAAACTGGAAGAGAAAAAAAGAAAAGAAAACTAAGGCAATAAGAGGTTAGGTATCTTGACTAAAGTCACACACCTGGTAAGGAGCAAAGCAAAAATTTGAACCCAAGTCTGTTGAGTTGATTTCTACTCATATGCACTATGAGAGTATGTGAGTATATTTTTAAACAAAAATTCAAATTACAGTATGCATTCTGTTTTGTAATCAGCTTTCATCATAAGTATCTTTAGACATTTATAAATATCCTAAAGATCATAAATATCTTTAGGAGGCAAAAGACTACAAGATTGTCTTTCACTCCAAACTCTTCACTTGCTCCATCAAGCCATTCATTTTAGATATTGAAGTTCTTGCTATTTTTTTTTTTTTTGACAACTTTAAGCAATGCTGCAAAATATATCTGCCACTTGATAATGTGTGACCTTGGGCAAGTCAGCTGACCTCTCTGAGCCTCTTACGGGGGCTCTGAAAATTATGTAAATTAAAAAGCAGTTGCTGGCATATAAATTAAGCTCCAAATGGTAGCTTGTTCAAATATCTTTAATTGCTTTCTTACAATAAATTTCCAGAAGAAAAACTTGCTGAGTCAAAGGGCATGTACATGTTCAATGCTTTTAGAGCATATTACCAAAGAACTCTCCAAAAATGGTATAAAATTTACATGCCCACCATCCCTGGATGAAAGGACCTATTCCTTATATGCCTAGAAAAATTGGGTATTATCCTTCTTTTACCAACATTTTTCCAATTTCATGAACAAAAAAACCAGTATTTTGTGCAAACTCCATCTTTAATTTCTAGTGAAAAAAATTTTTTCATATATTTTAGGCCATTTGTATTTCTTCCTTTCCTATTTTTCCTTTTCTTTTGTCTACTATTGACGTGTTTGCATTTCTTATTGGGTTTTTAAAGGGTAGTATCCTTCATGTTGCAAATAATTTTCCCCAAAGATATTTAGTCACTAATGTTTAGTTTCAGATAAAAAGAAAAGCCTGGTTAATAGAACAGTAATGTGGAAAATAAAAAAGAAGAATTATTGGATTGATGTTGTAAATGGTGAGTCTTTTAAAAAAAATCTTATTTTAGAACAGTTTTAGCAGTTTTTGGAAATGCCGCTATAAACACTGGTGTGCAGGCTTTTTTGTGGACGTTTTCCACTCCTTTAGGTAAATACCAAGGAGCACGATTGCTGGATCATATGGTACGAGCATACTTAGTTTTGTAAGAAACCATCAAATTGTCTCCAAAGTGGATGTACCATTTTCATTCCTACCAGCAGTGGATGAGCATTCCTGCTGCTCCACATCCTTGCCAGCATTTGGTATCATCAGTTTTCTGGATTTTGGGTATTCTAATAGGTATGTAGTGGTATCTCGTTGTTTTAATTTGCATTACCCTGATAACATTCGTTATGTTCTTCTCGTATGCTTATTTGCCAATTGTGTATCTTCTTTGGTGACAGATACCTCTTAAACTTGTATTTTCTATACCTGGGCTATCCAATATGGTAACCGTTAGTCACATGTGGCTATGGAATGCTTCAAATGTAGCTGATTCTATGGAGATATGCTGTAAGTGTAAAACCGACACCGAATTTCAAAGACTTGGTATGAAAAAAAAAATGAGAAATATCAGTAAGTTTTTACACAGCTTACACGTCTAAATGACAATATTTTTGGATATTCTGGTTAAATAAAACTTACTGCACCTGTTTCACTTTACATTTTTAATGTGGCTACTAAAAAGTTTAAAATTACATGTGTAGCTTGTGTTATATTTTTACCAGACAGCACTGATCTATATATAGCCTGTATTTTGACAATTGTATTAGGCAAACACTGAGTCTTCTGCAGTACTTTCTGAATGGTATTATGATAACAAGGAAATAAAGAGTAAGAAAGCAAAAAAGTTTAATAAGCAAACCATCAACAGAACTTGATCAAAAGAATTTAAAAGGTTATAGCTTTTCTTTCTCTATATATCCTAGACCCACCAAGATGTTACAGTTTTTTGCAATAGCAATGCTGTTACTTATAATCTTCTGAAAAATGCATAATTTCAGAAAATAATCAAGAACATTCTAGAACCAGGCCAGGCTAGAAGTATCTAGGTAATATGTATCACAGTTCAATTTCACTAGGTTGAATAAGTGAAGAGAAGGAATGAATGGAGAATACCCAAAACAGCATTTTTTTAAATAATAAAATGAACAGAGACTACTGGAAAGAATGGGAGAACAGATTAATGATAGCTTATGACCTAGCTTTAGCCAAATCAAAATTAAATCAAGTATTGAGTAAGGATAGGGACAAATGGAACTAAGGAGTAAGAAATACAACAGGAGAACATTCTAAACATCCATTACTAAGAGACTAGATTAACTGTGATACAATGGAA